ACGGACAGATAGGCAGGCATAGAATAAAACAGAGGAGAGGGGTAGAGCGTATAGACGGGGACGTCACGAAGTCGCGCTGTCGCGGCGACACGCGTGGGGGCATAGGCAAGTTCGAACATAGAGGGGAAACTCATAGAGGAATAGGAGAGCAGGGTAGATAGGTATAGCAGAAGGAAATGGCGGAGGATGAAGGAAAAGTAGCAAGATTGATAGAGTTAATTGGGGAAGATCAGGAGAAGGGAAGAGGGGAGAGAAGAGGAAGTACAGGTAGTATAGATTCAAAGAGAAAGAGAGAGGAAACTGAAAGCAGGGAATCCGAAAAATGGGCTTTTAACAGGAGTAAGAAAGTGCAGAGATCACCGAAGAAAATAGATGATAAGGAAATTACAGGAGATGAAAGAAGCTGGATAGAGGAGATAAAAAAGGAAATAAAATCCGAGATGAGAGAAGGCATAAAGGAGATGCTGGAGGTAATGAGGGAACAAAAGAGAGAGATAAGGCAAGAGATGGAAGACTTAAAAAGAATCATGGAAGAGAGAGAGGAAAAATGGATGAAAGAGAGAGAGAAGATGGAGAGGAGAATAATCGAAATGGAGAAGACGATAACGGAAATGAAAGAGAAGGGAATAAGAAAAACAGAAGACGCAGGAGAGAAGGGATTGGAGAGAAGACTAAAAGAAATAGATAAGAAATTAGAGATGAGAGAGAGAGAAGAAAGAAGAAGAAACATAGTTATAAGAGGAACGAAAGGAAAGAGGAACGATATAGAAAGGGAGGTGAAAGAAATTTTAATGGGGATTGGAATAGAAACGGAAGTGAGTTGCAAAAAGGTCATAGAGGACAACAGAGAGGGAGGTATAAAGATGGCAATAATAAGCCTGCAGGGACTGGAACAAAAAAGAAAGGTCATGATGGAGAGAAGAAGACTAAAAGAGAAAGGGATAGGAATAGATGATGATCTGACATGGAAGGAGAGAAAGATGAGATGGAATATAGAAGACATTGCAAGGCAGGAGAGAGGAAATGGCAAGAGAGTAAAGGTAGGATATGGAAAGATGCAAGTAGATGGAAAATGGTGGAAATGGGAAGAGGATGAAGAGATATTAAGAGATAACGAAGGAAATGTGTGGAAGGAAAAAGGGGAAAACTAAGAGAGGAGGAAGATGGAGGTAATATGGAAGAGGAAGATGAGAGGGACAAAGAAGGGGAAAAGGAGAATGAGGAAGAGAACTTAGGAGGAGGAGATGGAGAGGAGGATACCGAAAATGGAGAGAGAGAGAAAAGGAAAATCAGGAGGGAGGAGGAAATGTGGAAGGTGGCGTTCTGGAATGTGGCGGGCATAGCAAACAAGGATAAGGAATTCTGGGAAGCGATAAAAGAATGGGATATAGTGATAATGATGGAGACATGGTTAGATGAGAGGGGGTGGGAAAAGATGAAAGAAAAGATCCCAAGAGAATACAAATGGAGAGTACAGATAGCGACCAGGAGGAACAAGAAAGGAAGAGCGAGTGGGGGTATGCTGTTAGGAATACGGAAGAGAATAGAAGAGATAAAGGAAGAAAGAAAGCTGGAGGAAGATGAAGGTAAGATCGAATGTAAGATAAGGATAGGAGAAGAAATATGGAGAATAATAGGGCTTTATGTAAATAATGATATAGACAGGAAACTGGAAGGCCTGAAGGATAAGACGGAGGAGGGAGAAAAGGGAGTAAGGACTATAATAGGTGGGGATTTCAATGCGAGAACGGGGGAGGAAGGAGGTTGGGAAGAGGAGGACGAGGAAAGAGTGGAAGGTGGAGGGAGAAGATCAAAAGACAAGAAAATAAATGGGGACGGAAGAAAGCTATTGGAATTCATAGAGGAAAGAGGTTGGATGATACTAAATGGAGGCGTGAAAGGGGATGAGGAGGGTGAATTTACGTACACAGGAGGGAGAGGCGAGACAGTTATAGACTACGTGATAGGGGAGGAGGAGGTTAGAGAAAGGGTAGAAAGATTGGAGGTAGGAGAAAGAGTGGATTCAGATCATCACCCAGTAACAATATGGATGAGGGGTAAACTTGAGAAAGATCAGAGAAAAAGAGTAGAGGAAAGAGCTAGAAGAAGAGGAATATGGAGCGAAGGGGGAAGAACGCAATTTAAAGAGAGATTAGGAACGATAAAGGGAGAAGAAAGAGAAATACAAGAGGAGATAGAAGTAGGAAGCGCAAGGATAAGAAAAGTAATAGAAGAGAACGAAAATGAGGGAGGGAGAAGGGATAAGAATGGAAGAGGATGGTGGGACGAAGAATGTAAGGAGAAGAAAAGAGAGGTGAGGAAGGAGCTGAGAAAATGGAGGAAAGGAAGAGGAGAAGTGGAAAGATACAGAGAGGAGAGAAAGGAGTACAGAGAAATGTGTAAAAGAAAGAAAAAAGAGGAGAAGGAAAGGATGATAAGAGAAATAGGGGAAGCGAAAACGGAAGGAAAGGTATGGGAATTGATAGGCAGAGTAAGAAAAAGAAGGAAGAGGATAAATGAAGAGATAAAGATGGAAGAATGGAAGGAGTACTTCATGGAACTAATGGGTGGGATGGAGAATAGGGTAGTGAAGGGAGAAGGGGGAGGGAACAGACAAAAAGAAGAGGAGATAGAGTTGGAGGAGGTAAAAAATGTAATAAAGAAGTTAAAAACAGGAAAGGCAATAGGAAATGACGGGATACCGAACGAGGCGTGGAAATTTGGAGGAGAAGAAATGGAGAAATGGATATGGGAAATCTGTAAAAAAGTTTGGAGAGGGGAAGGCTGGCCGGAACAATGGAAGGAAGGAGAAATAGTCCCAATAATTAAAAAAGGAGAAGGAAGAGGGGTGAAGGATTATAGAGGAATAACAATAATGTCATCAATGTACAAGATATACACAGCGATACTTGCAGAAAGGTTAAGGAAGGAGGTCGAGACAAAGAACTTGATTCCAGAGAATCAGGCAGGATTCAGAAAAGGGATGGGGACAATGGACCAGATATTCGCGCTGAATTATCTGGTAAATAGACAATTGGGTAAGGAGAAAGGAAAGATGACAGTATTTTTCATAGATTTGAAGGCGGCCTTCGACTCAGTGGATAAGGAAGTACTAATCAGGGCGATGACTGAGAGGGAAGTGAGGCAGGGTTTAATAGACAGGGTTAAAGAGGTACTGAGAGAAA